CCACCCACGCACACCCACACACACCCACACACCCACACCCACACACACCCACACACCCACACAAACCTACACACCACACAAACCCACACCCCCCCACACCCATCCACCCACACCCCCACACCCCCCCACACACACCACACCCACCCCCCACACCCCCACACCCACCCAAACACACACCCACACGCACGCACGCACGCGCGCGCGCACGCGCGTGCGCGCACACCCACACACCCACCCACCCACATGCACACACACCCACACGCACACACACACACACGCGTCAAAAGATGGGTCCTATTGTTTTATCTTTTGTCAAAAGATGTCTTTTTGTACTCATTTTAATTTATTTAGAAAAATTCAACCCTCTACATCATATTATTGATCTCCAATATGTGTAGGATCGTCCCAATAATTTACATGATGAATATTATAGAAGAAAAACCTTACTCCCATTATTTAGCTCAATAATGTCAAAGATGGAGCCGTAGGCATTTGTATTCTTCTCTAATCATCCTATTACTTATTTATGACATTAGTATTCATATTGCTGGGCTACTAGCCGTGTGGGTCACCCTCGAGTGGACCTAGGACGCCATTCTTGAATACTTACTATTTTTAGCAGGTTGGGCCCAAAATGATGTTTGGGCCGCCCGACCTTCCTTAGTTTGTATCGAAAGGTTATGTATCATTATTTAGATAATGTTGGGCTATTACATTTATTTAGATGGCCCAAATAAGTATTTGAAGGCCCATCATTAATATACGAGCTCAAACGGTAAAATAATCAAACACGCATTACACAAATCATTAATTGTTTTACACTCGTTTGACAATAGGAAGTTCAATACATAAACTTTGAATTTTAAATTGAATTTCAAGGACGTTTGGGTGCGGTGTCACATAGTAAGTGGAAGAGAAAGAATTGTTTATAAGGGCATAATGATGGCAGTGATAGCTCGAATCTGAATTTAGTTCCTTTAATCGGGAAGTTAGTTAAATATTTTTTTGAAAATTGCACACTTGTTTTGGCCTAAAAATGCAGTTTTTTTTTTCAATAAATAATTTAACTAACTTCTTGATTTAATTTTAAACTAAAATTCGTTGAACATAACCTATACTTTAGAAAGAACATGATCACTAAATGTCATTATAAAATTCGACTCGGAAGCACCTCATATTTCATAAAAATGTCCCATTCCCGTCATGACGTCCTGACCAGGACCCCCGTGCGGACAACACCATCAGATTGTCTTCGCGGTGGAATTTTTTGATGAATTTTTTTTAGAATGTTCCCCATCAAGTCTAGTTTATTCATACCAAATATCAGCTTAAAATTCTATCGGGAAGATAGTTAAACAAATTCTTGAAACATACTGCGTTGTATATATGTATAAAATGTGTTGTAAGAGAAGAGCCGCCACTTGGAGTGGCGGCTTTTGTACTGTAAGAGAAGAGTTGCCACTTCAAGTAGCGGCTTTCCTTAACCACGGTTAACCCACCAGTATTTTGGGAATTATTTTTAACCCAACATTATTTTGAGAATTATTTATTTATTTAGCATTATTTCAGGAAAAAGCTCTATATGTAGAAAGAATTGGAGAAAATGAAGATGGAGATGATTAAGAGTATGAGAGAATAAAGAGTAGGATTGTAGGAAGAGTTGGAGAAGAGGTGTAAAAAATGTATAGAAAATAGGAGTATAAATAGAATTTTTTTGTATCCCACCCCCCAAAACCCTCAGGACCCCCTCCTTTGCCTACAACGGCTATAGAGCCATTTGGGAATAATCCCAACGGCTAGGAGCCCTTTTTAATCCATTTGTTTTTTTAAAAGAGCCATTGCGGCCCAGACTGGCCGGGCCGGTTCCTATTTTAGCTGACCCGAGCCCGCATGTACTAATCACCAGTTACCGGGCCGGGCCAAGTACAAACAATACCGGTCTGGGCCGGGCCCCGGGCCGGTTGGCCCAGAACCGGTCCAACCCTACAAGAAAGTACTGGTAGGCCGAATTTAACACTGGACTCGGCAAGAATTTATTGAACAAATATGAAATTAGGGACATTTAAATGAAGCACTAATCAAAAGGCTCAGGTAGCATGGAACAAATATTACGGAGTAACTTATTGTGATGGATGGATTCAGAAATGCTTAAGGCGAATGAAAAAAGCATGTAGTCCTAAACTTGAAGAAGCGTGTCTCTATATCCAACTTCTCATTTTCAAAGCTTTCATACAATTGAATACATATTTCAGAGTACCGAGCTACAAAATGATGCAATATTTTAAAAATAATACCATTGATTGAGTTCAAAATTAGCATGCATCAATCATGAAATTTGCATAGTGGTGATAATTGGTCATCATTTATGATAATCTAGGAATACAAAAGGTATGAAAGCATGCATTCCTGAAGTTGTATTAGATATTATTTCCATTAATCTTTATATAGTTTAGTAGATAGTAGATTCAAGATTTTTACCTGGACTGGAATTTTCTTGTCTGGTACTCTGGTTTGATTTGAACTAATCTAGTCTAGTCTGATAAATGACTAGTCTCTATGTAAGTTTGATCTGATCTGATCTGGGATTGAAAATTATTCAAGTAAAAACATTTTCAATCAACTGAAAACAGTCTTGTTCCGGTCCATAATTCTCATAATCCGTGAAGTTCCCAGTAGTTTTTGAGTGCCTATATTGTACACCCGGGTGTACGTACATCCGGTTTTTTAAAATGGCTAAACTTGTTTTTAGGACCAAATCCGGACTTGGGAACTGGATTCCTTCAGGAAAAAAGAATAAACGCCAGTGGGATTCGATCCCTGAACTTCAAAAATAGCCTGCAGCACTCCATCCATCTCGACTGCTTGTCTCTTTGAAAATATCCGTCCTTTTTTCTTACTTAGCCTACATGTTTTCATACTCCCTACTACAATTGTTTATTAATAGTAATTATAATATTAACTATTCTTTGTTTTTGCTCATTATTACTATATTAAAACTAATTCAAACGAAGTATTTATTTAATCTATGAATCGTACTATTAATTAATTTATATAAATGTATTTATAATTTTATTATATATTGTTAGGTTTCTAGTAAACCCGATGCTCATCAAAAGTGTTTTAATCCTCATAATAGGTCTAATGCACATTATGCTCATTAATGCTCATTATATATTGTTAGGTTTCTAATAAGCCCGTTCTTCGTTTTTGTTATTTTGTACGAAGTACATAGGTCTCATATTTTGAGAAGTGGTGAGACACTAAATAGCTATCATTATCTCTAGCTATAGTTAGTTTTTCATGTGCTCTTTGCACAACTCCAACCCCCATTGTACATTTTATTGAAAACAACAAAAGACTCAGAATTAAAGAAAAGTACTAGTATAAAACAATTGAAAGATGGTTCAGAAAAATGAGCACTACTGAACTTTTAGTGAGCAACAGACCTATTATGTTGAGTATTAGGAGTCTAATATTTAGAATTGTGATCTCTGCTTCATATTTTCTAATTCACTTTCTTTGTTGTTATTAAATCGTAAGTTGTTAGTTGAACATCATCACATTTTCATTGAACATCAAACCTCCACTATCGAGATAAAATCACCGTTTCTGGTAAATGAGCACTAATGAACCTTTAATGAGCAGCAGACCTATTATATTGAGTATTAGGAGTCCAATATTTAGAATCGTGATCTCTGCTTCATAATTTCTAATTCACTTTCTTTGTTGTTATTTTGTCTTTTATAAAAACTTACTACATTATATTTATGACATTGATATGACATTTACAAAATGAGCATAAGATCAGTACCAGATGAGCATACATAACTTACAAAATGAGTATTAATGAATTTGTTAGTTGCTTTGTTAGTTGAACATCATGACATTTTAATTGAGCATCAAACCTTGGTTATTGAGATGAAAGTCACCGTTTCTTCTGAATGAGCAATAATGAACGTTTAATGAGCATCAGACCTATTATGTTGAGTATTAGAAGTCTCATATTCAGTATCGTGATCTCTGCCGCATACCTTCTAAGTCACTTTCTTTTTATTACTTTTTCTTTTTATAAAAACTTAATAAATTATATTTATAATCAAATCTTATGAAATTCAATATGTAATTCAATATGTGAATCTAATGTAAAATAGTACTTTAAAAAATGCATTGATATGATTATTAAAACACTTTTAATGAGCATTGAACTTATTCAATTGAGTATTAAGATCTTAACAATGTGAATCCAATGTCATATGCAACTTTTAAAATTTGCATTAAAATTTGCATGAATATGACATTTTAAAAATGAGCATAATATGAGTACAAATTGAACAAACGTAACTTACAAAATGAGTATAAACCGTAAATTTTTTAGTTGAACTTCAATACATTTTTATTGAGCATTAAAACTCCTCTATTGAGTATTGAACAAATGCAATTGAGTCTCATGGTCAGTGCTCATATATCTATAATCAACTCTTGCATATATGAATCAAAAATATAAAACTAAAACATTTAATAATATTTTATATTATACATTTTCATAATAATTGAGTATAACATTAAAGTGGAAGGTTACTAAAAAACAAAAAACAAAGAAAGGAGAACAAAAAAAAAAAAGAATAAATAAAACAAAAGAAAAAGAAAGCAGTGGCGGATATGTAATACGAAAAAAAAGAAGAATAAACAAACAAGAATAAACAAATGAAGAATAAACAAAATGGACGTGAGTGGAGTATGGATGGACGTGAGTGGAGCGCGCGGCAGTGGAAAGAGGAAGCACCTCAGTCTATTAATTATTCGGAGTCCCCGGCTGCGATTCGCTCAACAGAGCAAGAAACGATTCTGCTCTTCTACAGTTCTACTCCAGGCAATGACGGCAGACCCTATATTACAAAAATACCCGGCTGTACCATGAGGATGGTACAGCCGGTTGTAGGATATAATTTACCGTAGTTTTTGGGTTTAGCAAAAACCCAACCCAAACTAGACCTATCCCACCCATAATCTTAGCCATTCATTATGTATTTACGTCAGCATGCTTCTTTTAAAAGTAGCGTGCTCCGTATATTATCTCTTATCGTTATTATTACTATTACTATTACAATACTACCAGCAGAGTTGTAGCACTATAAATAAACGTACAGTAATAATAACCCTTGAAAGCCATTCCTCTATAAATTGTACAGTGACAATAAAGGCTAATATTATTTCCCGATGTACCAAAATAATTAAAGGCTACAATTATTTTTTATTATGATGGAATTCCCAAGGAAAAGAAGCAGGATCAATATATATACTCCTCAGCTGGCCAAGCATTTGGAGCGACCATCGTTATATGCTTAGACTACTGAGATGTGACGACTCTTTGACATTCTGAATGGGGAAAAATAGAAAAAGTGAGTAAATATTTAATAAGGTTAAGAAAAAGAAAGTATTGTAACATGTAAAGCAATTATTTATTATAGTAGGGCCGGACATTACATTCGAAACTTGAATCCAAAGATGAAGAACATCCAAAGCTCTGCCTGAGAGTAATGTTCTTCGAGCAAGACTCACTCCTTCACCCAAACTTTCTACAAGTCCACTGACAAAGAGAGCTCCAGCTGCATTTAACACCTGAAACCCTCATTTTTAAATTATTTATAAAGAAAAGGAGAAGAGAGAAGTTCTCGCACATGATAAATTGGATACTTTTAGGGTGTGTTTGGATCTCAGAAACTGTTAGGGAAAGAATTTTGTTTTCTTATGTTTGGTTTAACCTTGAAAAATGAAAAGTAAAATAAAATATACTCCATAACTATTTAGACAAATAACATTTCATAGGTTTATCATCATCATCATCATTACCCCAATGCCACAAAGGCTCCCACCTATGGTAGGGTAAGGGGGGACATTTCAGAGGTTTATACTTCTTAGAATTCTTCACATAGTAGAAATAAATTAGTCAATAAATAAATGATCAAGCTTGAGCAAATATGAAATATCTAAAATAAATTTTAGGATTTTGAGCCTATCTTTTTAATTTTTACTTTCCCCAAAATTCTTGGTCATTCCAAAATTTCTCTCTAATTTCTTCCCCTGCAATTTGTGTGATCCAAATGGATCTTTAGGATTACATTGGTCCCCTAGGACATGAGAAGTTGGAGAAATGATATTTAGCACCAACTTGATCAGCTAACATTGTTCTTAATTGTATATCAATGAACATAACAGAGGAAGAGATTCACCAATGCGTCACCAATTGGTCCGCTTTCGCCGCGTAGAACTCGCTTAAGCGTCATAGCATTGTAGTCAGGGTATCCACCTTTCAAGCTCTCCAAAGTGCAGCGTGGAATGCCAAAATCCACTATCCAATGGTTACATTAGTTTCTGGTCGTTGTATCAATGAATATGATAACATACGAGTCCTGATTGTGGGTTCTGTTTGGTAGCCATTTTCGGCTTAGGGCCTCGTTTAGTAGGGATTATTTGGCTGAAATGGCTCAGTTTGCTGAAAATTCGAAAAGTAAAAGCTTCCCATCCATCCCATCCAAACAAGAGTCTGTTTAGTAGTCAAAAACTAGTTATTACGCTAATTATGTTTGTCCTGTGGAAAAAGCCATAAATGCAATCAAACACTTTCTACTTCAGAACGGATTAGCCATCCACAAGCCATTTCAGCTAAACGATCCTTATCAAACATAGCATTGTTGTATCAGAAACATAGCATTGTTTTGGTAAGACTAATATATATGAGTATATGACACCTTGCAAGAAAATGTGACTTCGGATTGAATTGTGGGAAGAAAGATACTTACGTGGGTCAAATGGGAATTTCTCAATCTTAGTCGGAGTAACATCAAGGATTGAGCCCCTACCTGTTCCCATATAGAATTTCCATTAAAATTAAAAATAAAAGTTGACAAAACAAGAGTTTTACTTGCACATCTACAACTCACGCAAAGAGTGATACTATAAACTAGTGTGTATTTTATGCTTGAAATAATTATCATGATAGAGTTGTACCAAGAGGACTCATCTCATCTAGGCCTTCTGAGTGAACTACCAATGCTCTTTTCATGCCAAACCGTTGAACCGCTTTAGCCATTTTCTGGACCTAAAACGCGACAATTTATTCTTTCAGAAACATAGGTGATCCATCCTGAGCTTACTTTTCTTCTTTGCATAGAAGTCTTTTCACTCGTTTTTTTTGTGTGTGGGGGGCAAAGCTTTGCATGGAGTGCCAAACCTTCATATTTCAACATTTGTTGACAGTAACTAACATGTATTAGTGCACACAATCATACGGAGTATATGAAAGGGGGAGGGGCCTAGCTCCGCCCAAGGGTGTTTACTTTTGAATATCACAATTATCCACCCTGTCAATTTATGTGAATTGAATAAGACACTATAAAACTTGTGACTTACACAGTGGAATATATATCAAGTATGGATGCTAGAGAGGGGGGGGGGACTCCCATGGATTCATAACCAGTGTCATTTGGAGGACTTTTTTGGTTTACTGTTTACAGATTGGGCCGTTTTATAAAACCAAGACAATACTTGGCACTATTTTGCCATCATTTCCTCCATTTAAAGACCTCTATGAAAAATTAATCACCGATAGTAATTAGATATTAGCAAGGGGTAGTATAACATTGTTTAATCTGCAAGATTTCTTGTAAGATGACATTTATACTGAGAGCATATCTATAAAAAGAGGAAAGGAGAGGGCGTATTAAGGAACTTACAAGGTTTTCTTTGCTGACTCCAATAACAGCAAAAGGAACTCTGGCTGGATTTAACATTGGGCCCAGGATATTAAATATTGTCTTGATGTTTAGTTTTTTCCTGACAGGACTAACAATCTTCATTGCTGGGTGGTAAATGGGGGACATCATAAATCCAATTCCTGCTTCATTTACACACTTTTTTACCCCCTGATTTTATTTGTAGTCATGATTAGAGAACTAGTCGCCCACCATATCCAACCAAATATAACCATCATGGGGAATGAATATTGTACTTTTATCATGAACTGCTTTGTATAAAGATCCAATCTTTGCATTATAATATGCCAAATAAAATGCTCCATCTGTCCCATTTTACTATCGTTACAATTTAATATAAGAAAATAAGACTTTCACATTTATAACGAGAACAAAAGTTGTACAAAACAGGTAGCACGACAATTTAATTATAAAAGAAGTGAAGACAAGAAAGAAGATGTAATTTGACTAATGAATAGTTACAAGGAAAAGTAAAATGGGATAACAGGAGTAGGTACAGGGAAGGGGATATCTAAGTCATGTTTCCTTTGGCCTTTTCCCCATGGACACGGATCTGAACCCTGAGCCTTGTGGGACACAACACAAGGTATTAAATATCCACATACAAGGCAAAACTAATAAACAACTGACGTCAACCAACACTTATCCAGCTATTTTTTTCCTAATATTGTGCCCAGTGCTTGCTTCGTCTTTTCCATCATATTTTTTTTTTTGTAACTTGTCATTGCAGATAAAGCAGCATGAATCCATATTTGTAACTGACAGTCAATCTTATGAGTTATGAAACCATTTCAACGTAGAATAAACGCAGGGATCTGCCCCGAGCAGCTCTTATTTTAGTTTATAATAATAAATAATAAAATAAAAATTGAGATGAGAATAACGAAAACTATGTGGAAAAGTCTTGAAGACTGAAGATCACAAGTTAGATATATGGATAAATGAAAAACTTGAACAAATGTCTGAATGTCTATTCACAATCAAGAGTTACATGTATAGGCTGTTGTGAGTGTGGAGCTCAAGGAAAGAATCTGAAGAGAATCTGTCCTAGTGCTATACACAAGAGAAAAATATCAAATCAAGAAGATTTGTATGGTTATACACATAAACACGACGAATTTGTAGTACTAGAGTGACTATAGCAGACTCCTTTCCTTTTGTATAATAAGTAGTAATAATCAGACCTCCATAGTAACTATTTTGACAGATGCATCAAGAAGTATGGATATAGGCATATAGTGCTAGTTATATATATAGGGGAGTGTTCAAATAAAAAGAGACCCTATTCGCTTTGGTCATTATATGTTTTACATTTGAATTGCACTTATTTATGATTATAAATAACTGCACTCATTTTTTAAATATAATATGATCTAATCCATCCGTTATTCTAGTCAGGTTCTTATTTTTCAAGGGAAGACCTCTTTTCATTTGAATATATATGTATGTATGCATGTGAGAGAGAGAGACAGAGAGAGCTGAATAATATGAACCTCGGAGTCTAGCTCAATAGCAACCCCTAGAGCTTCCAGTACATCAGCACTTCCACAAGCAGATGAGCTTGACCTATTCCCTTGCTGCAAGGAAATCAAAGTAGCTTTGAGTCCCATCAATTAACCCTTAGGGGATATGTTTAGAAGGCAGGAAATGGAATGGAAGGGGATACTAAGGAGAATAAAATTTTAATATTTGGTTTTACCTTTCACAAAATATGAAGGGAAGTAAAATATGTCAGAACGCTAGAAAATTTTCATCCATCTTTTATAATGGATATACATAAATAAAAATGAGTTTGAACATGTATCTAACTTTACCCGGTTCCAAACCACCATTAACTGGGGAAAGAAAGAAAGAAAGAACATCACCAAATGCTCTATTGAAAGGGGGAAAGGGGATTGGTCAGACCTTAGCAACTTTGGCACCACATGCAGCAGCAAGAATGGAAGCGCCAGTTGAGATATTTACAGTGTTTACACCATCACCTCCTGTGCCAACAATGTCAACAACTGCGCATTCTAATCCTTCAACTCTTCTACACTGTTTTATCATAGCCCTTGCCATTCCCACCACCTAACCTCATTCGTTCACTACAAAGCATTAGTCTTCCAGCACAACAATTATAATATGACTACCATATCCTCATAATGTAAATCGCTGCATATGGATGTCTAGGTTAAAACAGCACAACAACATCATCATCAACAACAACAAAGTCTAAGGATCAGTCCCAAAAGAGTTTAGGATCGGCTAAAAAGATAAAAAAGACGTAAGGGCAAGATTAGATATTAAAAAAAAAAGATATAAACAGATAGATTAAAGATAAGACAACAAGTATTATCATATTGACTAGAATCCCCTTATTTGTCACTGTGTGTTTTAAAGCATTATGCAGTGTTTATGGAAGAAGAAGAAGGGAAAGTCTGGAAAATAAACAACTAATGGTCTTTTGATATTGTATCTAAAGTAGCTATTTTAAAACAAATTTAAAATCCTAAGGTAGACACTAGGCAGTAATTAAAGAAATGAGATATTAGTACTTACTTCTTCATAGGTTTCTCCTTTAGCCCTCAAGAGAACAAGAAATGCACTAATCAGAGCTTCGTCTGCACCATCCAACAGAAACTCAAGAGATTCTTCAGCTTCAGATTCAGTCAAGTCTTTTCCACTTATTAAAGCTTCAATCAACTTACACACAATCGAAAACCAAAGAAAGTAAATCAAGAATTGCTCTACAAACTAAACCACATCAAGGGGGGCAATCCAAAAGGGGGAACACAAACAGAATCCTAATATTTTTTTTAAAACATTGAACAGATTTTGTAATTAAGCCCCAGAGCGAGCAAGCAACCATGGTACTAGTCTATTCCACAAACTCATTTAGTGTTAACGGTGCCTAAAAGATTAAAATTGGGATTTCATTTAAGAAAATCTTTTTTAGTATTAGTCTTACTTGAGAAAAAGAGGGTATGGATGAATTGGGCGAGGCAGAGAAAGCAGCAGAGCAGGTGCTCGTAATCCGGGGTAAATCTGGAATGGGCTTATACCTGAAGTTCAACTGGGGGGGAGAGATAGAGGTGCGGGTGAGAGATGAGGCATGTACAGAAAGTGAAGATGATGGGCATTGCGGGAGAGCCGCCATCTCTCAATTGTAAGTTTAGGGAAGTGGAGGCCCACTTGGAGCTGCGATTTGGTAGATACAAATCATCATCATCATCCATGCAGAAAGGAAGTAAATGCAATGCGCATACCTATTTATTCCCCTATTCTTTATGTCTGTCGGAAGGGACAGCGGATCCGGGGCACACGCCACCGCGTCACATACTTACTTGAAAACACCACAAAAATAAACGGGAGATTTACCTTAATAGGATCAAAACATGGCTTTTTTCTCAAAATAGGAGTACCTAGTTTAAACATCCTTAAATAGGACTTTTTATTAGTGATTGGACCAAAATACCCCTCACAACCTTTACCACTGCTGCCCAGGGACTGCCGGACCGCCGCCTGCCGCCTGCCGCCGCCGCCGCCGCCTGCCGCCTGCCGCCGCCTGCCGCCTGCCGCCGCCGCCGCCGCCGCCGGAGCTCCGGCGACCGCCGCCGGAAAAATTCTAGATTTTTTTTCTGGAGGTTTGCCAACATTCTGCCGCCACCTGCCGCCGCCGCCGCCGCCGGCCGCCGCCGCCGCCGCCGGAAACCGCCTCTTCCACTGCCGCCAACCTGCCGCCACCTCCGGACTGCCCCGCTACCAACGGACTGCCTTGGTTGTGCAAGAGAACTAGGGGGGGCAATTAATTGGGTTAATTAATTGCCGGAGTTGCCGCCGCCGCCGCCGGAATCCGCCGCCGGCCGCTGCCGGAGTGCTGCCGCCACCACGGACTGCCACGCCACCGACGGACTGCCTTGGTTGTGCAAGGAAACTAGGGGGGCAATTATTTAGATTAATTAATTAATTAAATAGAATTAGGGGTAAAAAAGGTAAGGTTAGTCCTATTTAGAGAAAAACATGCATGTGGTCCTATTTTGAGAAAAAGGTTGAGTTTTAGTCCTACCTTGGACAATTTTCTCAAAATAAACACATTCAAGTTTTTTATGCACATCTTTGTCACACTTGTTGTCTACATAGAAATACAAGTGTGTCAAAGGTGCACATAAAAAAATGTGTACACCAAGCACTACTTTGATTTACACAAGCAATTAGAGAGTTATGTGCGCATGTAACTAGGAGGTTGTGTACACATACAACTAGGCGGTTGTGTACAAATTCTGTGTACAACAAAAAATTCTATTTGGAAACAACACAAAAATAAATTTTACTCCCACTCTCATCTAATTTTGTAAACTTTCTTTTTTTATTTAGACAAAATTAATCAAATTAAGATTAAAACATCATCTTCTTCCAAAAATAGAATCATATGTTTAGTTTTCCATATATAGGACCATTTTTTCATTTCTAACCCTAAATTAATTAATTAATTTATTAACTAAATTAATTGCATCTAGTTCCCTTGCATAACCACGGTCAATTCGTTGGTGGAAGATCATTTCATGGTTGTGACAACAAACTCCGTTGACAGTTAGTGACAGAGTTTTGGCAGATCGGTGGAGAATTTTTGGAGGAAAAGATCAGTGGCGGCTGGCGGTTCAGCGACCTGGAGGCATCACTGCTCCAACCATATGAGAATATTTCAGTTCTATCACAAATTAAAAGTCTTATTTAAGGTCTTTGAGACTAGTAAGTTCTATTTTGGAAAAAAGATGTGTTTTGTTCCTATTTGAGTACTTCTCCCAAGTTCTGTCACTTTCCTTCTAAAATAATCTTCACCCCGTTCAAAGGTGATCATTACACAATGGCACAACTATCTAGACAATAAGTAAATATGCTAGTTTGAGTATATTTTGATGAATAGTTTTAATGAGTATATGGTATAATGAGTTATTGATGATAATTGTGATGTTATAGATGCATATATTACTTTTAGTATCTAATGATTAAATTGTTATTTAAAAGTGTTAATTGTTTCATACAATAGAAAATAGGAACTTTAACTGGAACGTCCAAAAAAAGTGAGAACTTTTGAATGGGATGAAGGAAGTAATTTGTGTTTGAGAGATTTACCTAAACATGACTAAAACATTGTGGAGGTGCAAAAAGAAAGACTCTTATGTTCTATAAAACTGCCATCCAACAATATCATCGTCACCACCCTCCGGTTAGGCCACCGCTCTCCAACAAGACGACAACCACCGTCGAATGTTACTTCCGCCACTGCCCTCTTATGAGACCACCACCACCGTCCGATGAGACCCCACTGCCATCCACTAGCGAGACCATCACCACTACCCTCTGGATGGTTAACAATGTAAGGTGTTAAAGACAATTTCTTAATTTATTTTAGGAAACGCATCCTAGTTGCCTTGAGGTTAGGATTTACTTCTCTATAAATACAAACTCTCTCCCTTGTAATCATTGTGTGTGGATCCGAAAATAGCAATAATATTCCTGGCTTGGTAGCACCCCCAGACGTAGTCATTCGTGGCGAACTGGGTTACCAAGTTTTGTGTGTTCTTCTTTAATTGTTCTTCGTGTTGCGTGAGTTTAATTCCTAACAATTGGCATCAGAGCCCTAGGTTCGAAGGGAGATCTCACGATGGCAGACAATACGAAGACATCGGTGATACAGTTTGACGGAACGAATTACGGATTCTGGAAGTTTCAGATCGAAGATTACCTGTACGGTAGAGATATGTATCAACCTCTGGATGATAAGACGGAAGACATGAAGGAGAGCGACTGGAAGTTGCTAGATAGAAAAGCGATGAGCGTGGTTCGATTATCGTTGTCCAGAAACATCGCCCTACATACCGTCAAAGCAAAAACGACGAAGGAGATGTTGCAGATTTTGTCGGATATGTACGAAAAACCATCCGCCGTGAACAAAGTTCATCTAATGAGGCGTCTTTTTAATCTAAAGATGTCAGAAGGTACGAGGGTGGTGGATCATCTCAACGAGTTCAATGTAATCACTACACACTTGAGCAAGATTGAGATAAAATTCGACGACGAAATTCATGCCCTTATTCTGTTGTCTTCTCTCCCTGCAGAAAGCTGGAACGGAACGGTGACTGCACTCAGCGCTTCGGCAGGGAAAGAGAAACTGAAGTTCGATGAAGTCAGGAATCTGGTGGTCAGCGAAGCAATTCGGAGGAAGGAATCAGGCTTGGTTTCTGGATCAGCATTGAGTACAGAGAACCGGGGCAGAACAAAGTCGAAGTCCAAGTCAAATCGGGATAGATCAAGATCCAAATCCAAGTCAAACAACAAGGGCAAGAAGGACAGAAGTCAGATCAAGTGCTGGAATTGTGAGGAGTACAGACACTTGAAGAGCCAGTGCAAGGAGCAGATCAAGGATCAGAAGGAGAAGACATCTGCCAATGCAGCAGCAGAATCATTAGGTGATGATCTCCTGATCCTGAGCGTGAGCAGTCTGTTGGAGTCATGGGTTCTGGATTATGGAGCCTTGTTCCATTCATGTGGTAATTTTGAAGTGATGGAACAGTATACTCCTGGCAATTTTGGAGAGGTGTATCTTGCTGATGATTAGCCCCTTAAAATTGTCGGGAAGGGGACAGTCCACGTGAAGACTCCGAACAGATGCATGCTGAAACTGAATGGCGTCCGACACATTCCTGGTTTGAGGAGGAATCTTCTTTCAATTGGGCAGCTGGATGAGGAAGGGTTATGCAGTTACATTCGGCAGCAGAAATTGGAAGATCACCAAGGGAGCCTTGCTGGTTGCTAAGGGGAAGAAAAAGGGTACGTTGTACATGACAACGAACTCGAAGGACTGCATCAATGTTGATGCCGCTGCAACAAACGATGTGAATTTGTGGCACTGTCGGCTCGGTCACATGAGCGAAAAGGGGATGAAGGAGCTGTGCTCGAAGGGCAAGTTGCTCGGCCTGAAGAGTGTTGAGGTTGGCTTATGTGAGGACTGCATATTCGGGAAGCAGAAATGTGTCAGTTTCTCACAGGGAAGACGAGCTATCAAACCGGAGAGGCTGGAACTAGTTCACACCGACCTTTGGGGACCTGCAGAAGTCACATCCTTAGGAGGATCCGCCTACTACATGACATTCATTGATGATGCCACAAGAAAGGTATGAGTTTATTTTCTCAAAAATAAATCCGATGCCTTTGATGCTTTCAAGAGGTGGAAAGCTCATGTTGAGACAGAGACATGTCTGAAGTTGAAGTGCCTTCGGTCAGATAATAGAGGTGAGTAAGAACTGCATGAGTTCAAGAATTTTTGTGCTGAGAATGGGGTTCGTATGGAGAAGACAACAAAGGGGACTCCGCAGCATAATGGTGTTGCTGAACGCATGAACAGAACACTGAATGAGCAGGCAAGATGCATGAGGTTGAAGAGTGGCTTACCGAAGATGTTTTGGGCAATTGCAGTGAACACTGCGGCTTTTCTCATCAACAGAAGTCCAACGATCTCGTTGGAGAATGACATTCCTGAAGAAAGGTGGACGGGTAAAGAGGTAAATGTGTCCTATCTCCACATATTCGGTTGTGTTGCTTATATTCATATCAGTTCCGTTCACCGAAGCAAGTTAGACGCAAAATCTGTTAAGTGTACATTCGTTGGATATGGTGGTGATGACTATGGATACAGATTCTGGGATGACCAGAGTAGGAAGATTATTCGTAGCTGAGATGTGGTGTTCAACGAACATATTATGTACAAGGACAGATTGAATGCATCTGATTCAGAGCAAGAAAGTCCAAAGATCATAGAGTTGGATATCTCTAATTCGGGTGGGAGCAAGCATGATCAGAATGAAGAGTTAAGCAGTGATGAGGATCCATCAACCCCGCCAAGGCAGCGACCTGCAAAAAACCGGAGAGCACCAAATAGGTATTCACCTTCTACTTTCTATTTGTTTCTTACTGATGGTGGTGAACCGGAGTCCTATGCAGAGGCAGTTCGAGTTTATGACAAGGGCAAGTGGAAACTTTCAATGGATGATGAGATGGCATCTCTCACATCCAATGATACTTGGAGGTTAGTTGAGCTACCGAGAGGAAAGAAGGCTTTACACTGCAAGTGGGTCTACCGCATCAAGAAGGAGGCAGATGGTAGCAAACGTTACAAAGCTAGGCTGGTTGTGAAGGGGTTTGAGAAGCATTATGGTATTGATTACACCGACATGTTCTCTCCAGTTGTGAAACTTACTACTATTCGGTTAATGTTGGGGTTAGTTGTTGCAGAGAATTTGTTGTTACACCAGATGGATGTGAAGATTGATGAGATTTACATGGTGCAACCGGAGGGCTATGTGGCAGAAGGCAGTGAGAATCTCGTATGTAAGCT